TCCAGGCCCATAATATCCCCGTTCCTCATCTTCTGATAACAAGACTTGGTCTCCACCTGTCAGAGATATGTCCCGTACATTTTTTTTGCCCTTCTGTTTGTCTGTTGAAATACCTATCTTTTTGAGCTGCCATCAACACTACTCGTAATACAGCATGCATCATGGTGTTTTTTTGCTCTACAGCAAGGATTGTAATCCTTTCCTCTGCAGGATTGGGATCGTGCTAGTTGTTCTGAGCCTAAGCCATTCCCTTTGGTGGAGTGCATGCATTATGCCTTTTCAACTTCTTGGTTACAGGGAAGCAATCCAGCACTGGCATTTCCTGGGCAGCCATGGCTTGCCACTGCACATAGCACTGTCAGTATCCCTCATACCTCTCCTGTCTTATGGCATATAGCTACAGGGTAATCTCCAGAACTTCGTGTAGTGAGAGGGTCCTGCTGACTATGCCAAATTAAGATGTTGTGTCCTGTTAGGTTTGTGGACTGGGAATGCCGTAACTGTATCCTGGGAGACAGCTGATCTGGTGTACAGTTTGTTTAATAGTTTCTAAGTAGCAATACCACAGAGTATTGCAAAAGCCACTCAATTAGCTATGAAGTTATTTGCGGCAGCAAATTATAAGGTGCTTACAAATATCAGTCCTACAAGGGATTTGAATTGTTTGATTGGTATTTGTTTTCTTTGCATTATTTAAAAAAAAAAAATAAAAATAAAAAAAAATCAAAGAATTAAATAGTGTTATCTCTTGTATTACATTAAAACAAAGCAGCATGCTTTAAAATTCATCAGATTGGTTCATTTAAATATTTTTGACTTACAAATATCTTTTATTTAAAAAAAAAAAAAAAAGGTTCATGATTTATGGAACGTTTCCAAGCCTTGCCAGTCACACCTGTATAGAAATTGTTTCTGACTGTATTGCACGGGATCTGCATGTCTGTGGTATGTCATCTCACCCTGAGCTGTCCAAATGAGAACTCTTCAATTTAACAGTTTTTCTAATCTGTTGTACGAACAGGATTGATTTCTAACTAGGATTGTTTCTCAGAGGTGAATTTGCTGTCTTCAGACAGCGTTATGCCAGTTAACTGGCATGAGACAAAAATTAGTCTGAAGCCATAGATGACATGGCTTAAAATAGTTGTTAGCCTCTTTCCATGTTATGAAAAATAAGATAATAGTCTGATGTGTAACTATTAGTCTGAGTTAGAATATCACAACAAATTTAGGGTAAATCTGGAAAAGAACACAAGCCACTGTTGTACTATTTTGTTGTGTTACACATTTCTGGTTTTGGCTGATTAGAGATGCTAGTAACTATCAAAGATGCATGCACACATATATACACACATGTATATTTAAAATAGTAAATCTTTATGTAATTGCAGCTAAATCTGATCTAGACAGCATTTAAGAGCAGGATGCCACAAGAAGCTGCATTTCTGTTGCTGAAACATTGTCAACTCATTTAACTTGTTATGGGCATGTCTGCTCTGTAAGCCAAGTAAGAGCTATGCAGAGAAGGTGGATGAGACCAGGCTCTTCTCGGTGATATGCAGCAGTAAGGAGCAGTGGCCTAAAACTTGAACACAGGAAGTTCCGTACAAACATGCAGAAGACCTTCTTTACAGTAAGAGTGACAGAGCAGGTTGCCTAGAGAGGTTGTGGACTTTCCTGTGGAGACATTCAAGACCTGTCCAGATGCCTACCTGTGCAACCTATTATGGGGAATCTGCTTTATCATGGAGACTGGACTCAATGATCTCTTAAGCTCCCTTCCAACCCCTGCAATTCCGTGATTCTGTGACATGCCAAGGAGCAAGATCCATATCACCTGCAGGGCATCAGCAGGCTCTTGGGCAGAAGAAGAATTTGACGGTAGCATGAGCTGAATTTCTATGAGAGAAGCATAATCAGGACCCTTTTGCTCTAGGAACTCACCCGCATCTCAGGAACCCAGTGTGGGCTTCACAATTTGAAGAGAGTACTAATTCAGTGATTTTGTGTGTGTGTGTATGTCAATCTAATATAATTGTAGGAGTTGGAAGGGACCTCCAGAGACCATTTAGTCCAACCCCTGCTAGAGCAGGTTCCTTATAGTTGATAGCACAGAAAGGCATCCAAGTCTTGAATACGTTCAGAGAAGGAGACTCCACTACCTCTCTGGGCAGCCTGTTCCAGTGGTCTGCTACCGTCACTGTAAAGTTTTTCCTTATGCTTGTATGGAACTTCTGATGTTCCTGTATGTTCCCTATGTCCCTTGTCCTATCACTGGACATCACCAAAAAAAGCCTTGACTCCAGCATTTGGATATTCATAAGCATTGATAAGATCACATCTCAGTCTTCTTCAGGCTGAGCAGTCCGAAATCTCTCAGCTTTTCCTCATAAGGAAACGTGTCAGGCCCCTAAACATCTTTGTAGCTGTCTGCTGGACTCTCACTAGTAATTCCCTGTCTTTCCTAAACCGAGGAGACCAGAACTGGACCCAGTATTCAGAATGAGGCCTCACTGGGGCGGAATAGAAGGGGTCACAGCTGATCATGCTGTTTTTAGTGCACCTCAGAATACCGCTGGCCTTCTTAGCCACAGTGGCACGCTGTTGGCTCATCACTTGTCAGTGGCTAATCACTTATCCATTAGTGTCTCTGTATCTTTCTGTAAAAAAGATGAGTTTTCATTACATTGATTTCAGTTCAAAATCAAGTTTATTCTTATAGGAGAGACAGCTTAATAAATTCCATCAATATAATACACCGTTGATGATAATGTTACTCATTTCTAAAAGTTGATTTTTTAAAACCCTTTGTATTTGGGAAAATTTTTATGTTAATATGAAAACAAACCAGAAAATGCATTTTCCCTTATTAGAAGAAGACAGTGCAGTAGTGTGCTGAGTGTGCTGCAGCACTACGAAGGAGGAATGGGCAATTTAATACAGGGAACCTGTAGGTCTCTACTTGTGGTATATGAAGATGAAATATCAATTTTCCATTCAATCAGAGAATGTACTGGAGAAGTTGCTCTATATGAAAAACTAAAATAGTCTTAGGACAGATGTTAAAAGTTTGTGACTCAAAGCAGATTTTTTTTTTTACTTGCCTGTAATCTTTTCATAGTCTGATTAATTATTTTTTTTTTTAATGGAGAAAGTAAGATTTCAGTATTAGGTACATTTAAGATTTTGGAGTACATTTTGAAATGTCAGGAATACATTAAGAAAAATATTTAAAAAGTGACCAAGGACTAAGTGCAACTAAATGTAGAGAAATACCAGTAAAGTACTTGACAAAAGTTACAACTCATTTGAAAGGCAATAGTATACAGGAGGCATAACGTTTTTGAGGCCTTATATAACCTGTTGCTAAGTCTTTAGGGCAGTCCAAATGCTGTGGGAAATGTTTTAAAATTTAATGATTGCTTAGATTCTGCTCTTTCAGGTCTTTGTAAATGACAGTTCCTGGTTTGAGGAGGTTGAATTAGACCTGATAAGATGCAAATTCCTCTAAGATTATCAGTGTTGACAAGTTTTGCACAGCACTGTCTTGAATGTGATCTATATTAAGTACCTCATAGCATACTGAGGCCAGATCTGAACCATGCTCTTATGCTTTGATCTGCGTATGCCAGCAGTTTCAGGCCAGTGTGAAGCTGTTAACTTGGTTTGCCAGGTTCTGTTGTAATCCAGATCAGTCCTCCTGCTACAGGACTGGGGAATTTCTCTCAGGAAGGCTTTGTGGTGGAACTGGAATCCTCACATTTAAAATTCATTGCAGAACTGTGTAGGAGTACAGAGCTTTTCCCCTCTGTTCACATTATCAAACAGATAAACAAACAAAAAGCCCAACAAATCACTTATAGTGGGGGAGAAAAAAGGAACGTCATTTGGAAAATGTTAACCTCTGGTTGCCAACACAAAACTACCTAAATAGGTTTGTTCTGTAGAAGGCACATTTCTCAGTAAGTGCCTGTCTGGCAAACCAGGCCTTGCATTTTGAATGTTTGAAGTCCCTGTTAACTTGGTTGCATGTACAGAAAATCAGCACTGCAGTGGCTGAAGGAATCAGGATGTTATGAGTGGTCTTGAAGTATGAATTGTTCTTAGTGCTTCCCTCCTAGGAGATCACTGTTTTATATTAAAACAATATTTAGAAATAAGTCAGGTCATTGGCATCCTTTGGTATAACATACACTCAGCTTTCAAGGCTCGTAGAAATTTTATCGCTTCCTTCTGAGTGTATATGGGGAAACTACACAAATTTGGTATCTCAATTAACAACGTATATGTCATGAATGAATATGCAGCATTTAGCTGTGGTTGGCCCTTTTTGCAAAAATCATTTTAGCTACTTGAGACGTAACAACCTTGATGATAGCTGATGGTTGACTGATATTGGAGCATATAGTGGAAATGCTAAGATCCTGTTTGTTCCTGTTGTTTGCTCTTGCTTGTTCTTCCTCTCCAGACCTGCTTTCTTGCCTTTTGTTTTGCCAGAACCGTTACTCTGATATCTTTGCTTCTTGGGAAATGCTTACTCAGCTTATCCTGTGAGGCATTTCTTCTGAGAGGCTTTTGAGGTTTCAACCTCAGGTTTCTCATGTTTAGATTAAATGTGTAGTTTAACAGATTGGATAAGACTTGTGGCAACCAATTTTGGTACACTTGTTGCCAAACAAGTAATTATACATACCTGGATGAAATTAAAACAGGATGCAGCACTAGTCCTGGAATATCTGAGTATTAAATGTTGAGATTTTAATGTTCCATGGCTGAGACCCGAGGATCAATTTGGCTTAATTAAACTGTACTGCATAAGATCTGTACCTTCTGCAAAATACAGAGCTGTGATCTGTGTTTTGACAGGATACACAGTGTATTCTACCTTTCCCAATAAAAAAATAAAGTTTTATTACAGGAAAAATTGTAGCAGTTATAAACTGATACAATTGTATCAGTTTATATAAAAATATATATATATATTTTTTTTTTTTGGACAGGTTATTTGGAAAAGGAATGATTTGCTGAGCAGAGCAGCACAAGATGACTTATGATTCCTGTTCTTCATGGAAGCCTGTCTGGATTCATATGCTTCTTTTTCTCCGTTATCAAAATTGGTATGTAGTGACTGCATGTATGATCCAAAATTCCACTTAAAATTTAGGAAGCAAAGTATTTAGGAAGCTTCTAACTTGATAGTTTTATATTAATAACTAGACAGAGATAGAAGTGAAGATCATGTTTTCAGTATTATTTTCAGCATTTACTGTTCACTTTGCTCTTCAAGAGTATTCAGTTCAGTACTCAACTTACAGATGGTTAATATGGCTGTTGAATTTGTGGGAAAAGCTGAGAACAGGAAAGAATCTGGGACTAGAAATGAATTTAAAACTATGTAAGGCCTTTCTTATGAGCTACAAATTGAGAACATGATTTTTCTCAAGAGAATATAAAATTATTAATTACATTTTGCATGTTTGTGGTTTAGAATAATAGTAATGATTTGCGTGGTTGGCATTTCTTGACAGTTGATGACTCTCTGAACTAAGGATAGAAATAAATATCCTCAAGAGGTCAATTAGTTGTACCTAATGACCCCAAACAGAGGTGGCTCTTCCCACACTGTACTTCCCTTTGAAAATTGCTGCAGTAATATTTATGGAGTGGAAAAGAGGAAAACTTTCTAAATTAAACTAATGCTTCTTGTGAGTAATTTTGTGCATTACAGTTGATTAGTTTCAATTTAGGACATGTAAATAGTTATTACAACTGAAAGCTGCTAGTTCCTTTCAGGGGGTTCAAGTGAGTAAGAGAACATTGTCCCTGCTGATTTGTGCTTTGATTCACCCTTTGCACTGGCTTTTGTAAAAGGCATTCCACTGCAATGTGTCTGCTTATTCTTAATGACATGAGAAACAGTGTTCAACTCATATTGAAATGGCGTTTTAGTTTTCTTTGTTCAGTAATGGTGCATGACAAAACATATGCTTCAGTATTTTCTATGTGTGTATATATATATACATATATATTTCTTGAAACAAAATAAGCTGGTGACCCTTCTACTTGATTTAGTTAATCGTCTCCTAATATTTTACTTTTTTATGGTTGTCTTGATGATTTCTTCTTGCCACATTTAACTTCAAAATTTTAGCAGCTGTAAAAAGATGCAGCAGGTTCCCTTTTGTGATTATGTAACACATTAACAAGAAATAGTGTACTCTACCAGGCACCTGTGAGCTTGAAGTTTCTGAAGAAAGATGACTTCTGTATGCTGAAAGAAATCTAAGAAATCTTGGATCTGGGCAATACTGGAAATATGCTTACTTTTAGCAGATAAATTTAATAAATCATTGAACATTCTGGCAGCACACCATAGCATGTTCTGATCTACATTAAACATAGCTATTATTGTGCTACTGTTTTTACAAGTAGAAAACTTGCTGTTTTGGCTGTGTTGGAGTTACTGGGTTTGTTTGATGTCTTTGCATGTAAGATACAATCTTTTTTTTCTGGTTGAGCATGCTACCCAGATTTTGAACAGAAATGTATTTACCTTTAAGTTTCTAAAACTGTTAAAAACAGACACCATAGTTCTAGCAATAATTATATTTGATGAATAGAATTTGTATGGTATTTAGCTTTAAGTGTGTACTTCATTGAAATAATTCTGTCTATTATGGTCTATAAAAAGAAAGTTGCATATGAGTGAGAACCTTGCTTTAAAGGAAATGTGCATACCCAGTAATTTTCAGCACGGAAATGGAAAAAAGTGATTGTGTGAAGCTTTTTTGAATCTGAAAAGAATTGGTGATGTACACGGTCCAAAAATGAGAATGCTGTGACAAAAAGATATCTGCCTCTTGCTTGAGTACTTTCATCATCAAAAAGCATACCTATTTAAATTACCAAAGCACGGTGATCTTTCACAAGCTGTGCAGTTACCATTCAGCAATGACTCTGGCTTTGAAATTACAGGATCTCTCTTTTTCAAAAAACAGGTGAGGACTGGAATGAAATGCCTATGAAGCTGTGTTATTGGTCCCTTTCTTTCATTCGCTATTTTTGTCCTTATGCAATTTTTGATATGTTGAGGGGATAGGAAGATACATGGGAAAGGAAAAATATGAGGTGCATGTTTAATAATTGCGTGAATGCTCATGACAGAAGTCCTGTGAATACAATATATGTATGTGACTGCTACAGAAGAGATCCTTTTGAACTTGCTGTCTGAATGCTAACGACTTCTATGAAGTGTAATACCCAAGAAAGAACATTTGCCTGAAGTGGTCACACAGCCTTTGCGGTCAGGTGAGGAAAGCAGGATGATTCACCTCTTTCAGGTATAAGCATCCATACTAAGATTATGTGAATTATCTCTTAAATTGCCTTCTGAACTCGCAGAAGTTCTACGGCATCCACAGAATCCCATGGCTAATATTTTCACAATTTTAGGATAATTGTTTCCTTTGGCTTCTCCTTACTATGTGGCAGCAATCATTCACTTTTTCTGTGCCACTAACAATTCTGTAATGATCCTGTGGTACCTTTTTTCAGTCACTTTTGAATGGAGATCAGACAAAGCAGAATTGAACTGAAGATAGGTGGTGCCATGAATGTGTATTGTAGCAGATAGTGTATCTAAATATATATTGTACATGGATAGCTCCTTTCTCCTTTCACTTGCTCCCAGTGTTGGTACCAAACAGAACGTGAATGCATACTGTGAGTAGGATTTGTGTTATCAAGTACAGGCATCTCAAATTAGTAACACAAATTTATCACAGTGTTCAGAGATGGAGGACATTGATTGCCCTCCATCACGAGAATAGCCTGAAAGTGACTGCTGCTATTGTCCAGATTGAATGAGAGGAATCCCACTTTGTCTTTCTGGCTGTAGTGATTTTTATTTTTTTTTAAAGACATATAATGCTTCTGGTTTCCAGCTTGTTTAGATGCCAGAGTACTCTGTGAGTCCAAGATAGAGAGGAGTTCTGTAAAGAGCTCCTGAGGAGCTCTCAGCTCTTTTGCATTTTATTTGTCTGTGAAAACAGTGAATATTTGATAAATACATAGGACAGTACCTGTAAATTCTAAAAGGAACTGTTGCACTGTATCAGCATAATAATGAGGGAGGGAGATCAGCATAATGTCTGAGGGTTAAATTTACAGGGAAAAAAGAGAATGTACAGTTAAACATAACATAAAGTTTGCTGCAGGGGAGGAGGGTTGTAGCAACTAAAGAATTAGTTTCCTATACATTGATGCGAGTCAGTCACTAAGTAAAACAAATTGAGCAATACTTTAATTCTGTGGATGAGTTACTTGATAACAAACAGCAGGTTGGGATGTTTTACCTGTTTCTTCCTGAGGCATTTGATGCTGTTGACTGACTTGAAGCAAGGGATTATGTAATATGTAGGGAAGCTCAGATGAGTTCACTTTTCAGTGCCTAGCAAACAGGCAGATAGGTGATAGTGGCATTATGTAAGTTGTTTGGAAATATTACTAATGCTTCGAGCTGTAGGTGATTTCAAAGCAAAATCTTGAAGTTATGAAATTATTTAAATACTAGAGAATCCAGGTAATTACAGGCTTGGTAGTCTGACCTCAGTTCCTGGGAACATTATGGAGCATTTCATCTTAAATGTCATCATACAGCATAAATGAGTGATCGTAAGTAGCCAGCACGAGTTATGAAGAGCAGATCCTGCCTGGCTACCCTGATCTCTTTCAATGACAAGATGACCCACTTAGTAGATGATGGAAAAGCTGTAGATGTTGTTTACCTGAAACTTTAGTAAAGCACTTGGTACCATTTGTCACAGCATTCTCATGGAGAAACTGGCTGTTCTTAGTTTGGACAAGAGGTGAGTTTTGCAGGGTGAAAGACTAGCTGGATGGCTGGACTCACGGTCACAGTGAATGGAGTTCAGTTGGTGGTCAGTCACCAGTGGTGATCCCCAGGGCTCACTAATGTGGCTAGTTTTGTTTAATATTTTTTTCAACAATCTTGATGAGAGGATTGAGCACATCCTTAGTGAGTACACTTATTTTCTTACTTTCAAGCAGAGGGCTTTGGATAGGCTAGATCGATGGGCTGATTCTGTTCGCATGACATACAATAAGACCAAGTGGTGGGTCCTGCACTTGGGTCATAAGAACCCAATGGAATGATACAGTTTTGGGGGAGAGTGACTGGAAAGCTGCCTGATAGCAGAAGACCTGAGGGCGCTAGCTGACAACCAGCTGAACATGAGCCAGCAATGTGCCCATATTGTAATGAGGGCCAATGGAATCCTGGCTTGCATCAGAAATAGCATGATCAGCAGAACCAGGGAAGTGATTGTCCCCTTGTACATGGGACTGGTGAGAGTTATAACTCATGTACTGTGCTCAGTTTAGGGCTCCTCACTACAAGAACTATGCTGAGTTGCTAGAGCGTTAGTAGAGAAGAGCAACAAAGCTGGTAAATGAACTAGAAAATAAGAGTTATGAGGAGCTAGTAAGGGAACTGGAGTTGTTTAATCTGGACATTATGGTAATGAGGGAAGACCTCACTGCTCTCCACAACTACCTGGAAGGAGGTCACAGAAAAGAGGCTGTTGATCTCTTTTTCTTTGGTGACAAATGATAGACATGAGGGAATGGTCTCGTGTTGTCCCAGGGGATGTTTAAATTGCACATTAGGAAGAATAAGGAAGACCAAATATTACTAGACTCCTCTCATGTGTGCTTAAGTAAAGGGTGTCAATCTAAAGTGTAAAGATGTGTTAGGATTACTTTTGTCATTAAGGAAAACAAGTACTCATTTGGTTCCCAATGATTTTAGAGAATCTTATTTGTTTGTTTTTTTTTTCTAATTCTTCTTTTTCAGATGGAAGTACAGACATGGATTTAAGAGCTTTGATACTTTTGGATGTTTAATTCAGATTTGGTAAATGACATGGAATAAGATACTGCCTGAACAAGATGAAATGCCTTGAAGACCTTTGGTTCTGCTTTCATTCTTCCTGAAGCAATGGTTTTCTCAGCAATGTTGACACCAACCAATTCTGGGACCTCAAATGCTACTTTTATTGTTTATGAAAATTCCTACACGAATTTTACCACTCCCCAGGTCTTACTTCGTAGTGGCACAACACAGCCACTGAGATATAGTTCAGGTGCTGTGCTCACCACTGAGAGAAGTACTTTTCTGGTACACACTACAGCTGTCCTGCCATCACAAGAAGTTTTCAGGAGCTTGAGTTTGCCACTCCAGATCATACTTTCTGCTGCTATGATATTTATTGTGTTGGTTTCATTCCTTGGAAACTTTGTTGTATGCCTCATGGTCTACCAGAAGGCAGCTATGCGATCTGCAATTAACATTCTCTTAGCAAGCCTGGCTTTTGCAGACATGCTGCTGGCAGTGCTGAACATGCCTTTTGCTCTGATAACAATCATTACCACTCACTGGATTTTTGGGGATATCTTCTGCAGAGTCTCTGCCATGTTTTTTTGGCTTTTTGTCATAGAGGGGGTAGCAATTCTTCTTATCATTAGCATCGACCGATTTCTTATTATAGTTCAGAGACAGGATAAACTGACACCTTACCGTGCGAAGATTCTCATTGTGATTTCCTGGGCAGCATCCTTTGTTGTTGCTTTTCCGTTATCAGTAGGGAATCCTAATCTGCAGATACCCTCGAGAGCACCTCAGTGTGTTTTTGGCTACTCTACTAGCCCCGGTTACCAAGCATACGTGATAATTATCTTGCTAATTTCTTTTTTTATTCCATTCTTGGTAATGCTATATTCTTTTATGGGCATACTCAACACCGTCCGCCACAATGCAGTTCGTATCCATAGCCACCCTGACAGCATATGCCTCAGCCAGGCCAGCAAACTTGGTCTCATGAGCTTACAGAGACCTTTTCAGATGAACATTGATATGAGCTTTAAAACTCGTGCCTTCACCACCATCTTGATTTTGTTCCTTGTCTTCATAGTGTGTTGGGCACCCTTCACCACTTACAGCCTTATTGCCACATTCAACAGCCACTTCTACTACAAGCACAACTTTTTTGAGATAAGCACTTGGCTCCTCTGGCTCTGCTACCTCAAGTCTGCACTGAACCCACTGATTTACTACTGGAGGATTAAGAAGTTTCATGATGCATGCTTAGACTTGATGCCTAAATACTTCAAGTTTTTGCCACAGCTACCTGGCCATACAAGGCGGCGCATTCGACCCAGTGCCATCTATGTATGTGGAGAACATCGGTCAGTAGTGTAAAGCTGCTGTTGTATGACAGTGATTGTTACTGTTTGGGATAATTTGTTTTCGGGCTTTTTGTTTTGTTCTATATGGCTTCTTCAGTGTGGCCATATCTTATAACTTGATAAAATTTTCCAGTACTCTGTGCAATTTTGGGAGAAAAAACGGAAGGAAGGTAATTGGTTATAGGTGGGTTTACTACCAGAATACAATGTAAAGAAAATAACAAATGTTACCTCTGGGATTCCATGGAAATCCATTCTTTTAAACAAAAATTGCATTTGTAACATTTTGTCAGGCCGATGCTTACTAGGCCTGCAGTTGCATCTAATTGTAGGGATTTTTTATGCTGCTAAGATACAGTATATTTAGTTGGTGTAATTTTTCTGAAAAAATGTTGCTGCTGTCTGCCAATATATCAGAGCCAAAAAGTCTCATTAGATAACTTCTATTTAATTTTAACAATATTTCAGAAGTTTTGATTGTGATGTTGTAAGACAGGTTTGTTTTTTTTTTAATATTTCCATTAATATTTTTGTGCACTTTAAAAAAAAAAAAATGCTATAGATTTTTTTCATTGGAATATTTTGTTCTGTACTGAAGGGGCGTTATTGTTATTATTTGTTATATTGGTGAATTTCAGTGAAAGTCCCATGTAATTTATGTTGTAGCTACAATTACAGTCATAAATCTGCTTTTTTTTTCTAACAATTGTTCAAAAGTAACAACTCTGCAGTTCCTGGGGGAGCTGGGAGGAAATAACAGGAGAGAGAAGGAGAGAAAGGAGTGGAAAAATCATATCCTGAGGTCTAGGCTAACATGAGATTTTGAAAAAAAGGAGTTCATTTGAAAATTGTCTGGGGGGAAAGAGGTAGCTGTAGTTACTTTGAGTTGTTAGAAGCTACTCGAACCTAATGATACTGTAGAAAAGCTATCAGGAGTTGACTTTGTGCTTGCAGTTCACACTGTGTTGAAATAGCACTGTTTCTACGTGAAACTCATATAGGGCTAGGAATGCTCCATGCAGCTGAAGTTGTGCTGTCAGGTTATGCAGATAGAGTTAGGGATAGCAGAAACCATACCTGAGGCTAGGACCTAGTCTATATAGAAGGGAAGAAAGTCCTCATTGCTTGTTTTTCATTTTAAGTATTGAACTGAATCCTAATAATAATGAATAACTGTTGGCCAGCAAATTTTGCTAGGGCTAGAATTAAATTCCCATTTTCCCATTGAGGATGCTTTACGTTGTTTTTTTTCTTTTCCCATTTCCCTCCATAGTGCCTGCTGCCTCAAGAGTTTACTGTATTGTTCTCATGCATTAGGCGTCGGGTTCTCTCCCTGAAATGCCAAACCATGATTCTGATTAATGTCAGGTTACCGTGGTACCTGCCTGGAAAGTAGGAAGACAAATGTTTTCCTTGGTGATAGCAGTCTAGGCTCACACTTTTTTTTTAATCAACTAAATAAATATTTCATGAGAGGCAAGTAAAATCAAGACTTAGATTTGGGCTTTGAAGAGAGATCTGCCAGTTGCTTTGAGTCTAGGAGTGGATGCTTGAAGATTTGAGGAGCAAATAGCAATTTTATCTGTTGTTACCTAAGTATTGAACTAATTGTATGAACAAAATGCCTTGTACAGTGTGGATATCCAGGGACTGCTTGCTTCCAGAGGCCAGCTAAACATTTATAGCACAGGTTTTGTTTTTCTTTAGTCAAGAACTAATTTAACAATGGTCTCCATTCCCCTCATTGACAATTATTGGCGAAACTGGTGGCAGTTTTTACATTTTAGGAGAATAAAAGGAATCATTCTGAATTCTGGTTTTTTGTTTGTTTGTTTTTCTCATTAAAAATCCAGTTAATGTACCACAAGTGGAGGTTGTGGATTGTGAAGAAATCCAGGTGGCTGTTATTGATGTCCGCTTTGTATTTTTTGTCAGCTAACTAATGATACAGATTTTTCTGCTCAAAATGATAGTAAAGGATTTCCACTGTAGAACTGTGGAAGAATGTTTTATTATATCTGCATTATAGCTTTTATTTCTCAATTACATTTACATTGATAGCAAAAGTTTATGACCTAGGTTGTATGAATTTTCTCTTTCAGAGCTGCCATCCCTGTTATCTCTGTAAGCAGCAAAATTGTGCTTAGAGCTAGTGTAATACAGTGAGAGTATACGCTATCTAAGATGGCAGGGACAAATATTTTTTGCTGTCTTCCAGAGCTTATAATGTGGGGCTTGAATGAATGTTGTAAAATATAGTAGTTCAAGAACGAAACAGGATTGAGTAATACAGGAAAGTTAGTGAAAGTACTTTCTTGAAGGAAAAGAGGAAAACATTGTGGTGAGATTTCATAATCTCTAAGTGCTTGCTGTGAATTAGAAATTTCAAACATCAAAAGATGTTAATTTGTTTGACCTACTGTTTGTTTATTCCTGCTGTGCCAGGGTTTCTGCTCAGAGCTGGGTCTGCTGATACTTGAAGAAAAGAAGCCCTGATAGTGTAGCCCAAATTCAAATATGACTGAAGTGGTGATGCAGTATCCACACTTACTAGACTTTAGAGATGATCAGAGCATCCAATAAACCGAAGGGTGTTCAAGAAAAGAAGCAGCGTGGTAGAGAAGTATCCCCAGGGTAATTATGTTTACAGAATCATTTGGCCTATTGTGTCTAATGGTCTTTAGAGCAGTGCCTTGACAATTACAGCTAAAGTCCTAGGACCGAGTTAAACACCACTTAAACTGCTCAGTCTTATTGTCTGTGATCTTGCCAAGATAAGTCCAATTTTGCTGGTGTCTGTAATGTTAAAACACATATGTGCTTGCATGATCAGGTCTGTTGAGGCATTTTGGTGGACTTGATCAAGAAGGGATTTTAGAAACTGAAATTGAAACTTCTTGATTCTACTGGGAAATTACAGCCTTCTTCTCCGAAAGTGATGCTTATTACTGAACTCTATTCTCATGTTACATTTTCAGAAATATTTGGTATGGAGGATTGGAATGAATGCATTTTCAGTTATGTTTCAGTTTAATTAATTCTGCCAAAGCATGCTGCTTACATGAGACTTATTTGTTGAAATCTGTTGCTAAAATGATTCTTTTGTACTCAGTTGTGTATTTTTGACATTTGTTACTCATGTAAGAATATGTATATAGAGAAGAAAATTGTTTCACCTCTTACTGCTTTCTGTTATTTTCTTATTTTGTATGCCAAATGCTTTTATCTTTTAAATTTCGGCATATGCATAGACATCTGCAAGATTTTAGTGGTCTTTCTGTAACCAATTGAGACTTTTAATTCTCAAACCATTCTCAGTACCCTCCTTGAAAGAGATTTGGAATTATTTTTAAGTGAAAAATAAACATTAAGAGCACAAGCTTGTTGCGGTTGGAATGGTGAAGAATTTCTTAGGTCCAGTTTTCTAGGAGCCACTACCTTGCCATTATGAACTGGTTTGATCTTTTTTTGAGTAGTCATTTTCTGATATGAAGAAACCTTGAATTACTGTAACGAACCTGTTAAATGGAATGGTGTTGTCTTTTCTGTACATACTACACCTGTGAACATACCTGAAGGAGAAAAAAAAATAAAAAGAAGCAAATATGAACATTCAAAAAAAAAAAAAAAAAAAAGGTGGCAAAAGTCTATACAATTGCTGTGAATTTGTGCATTCACAGGCTAAGCAAAAGTTGCCTTCAGTTTAATGCCCAGCTTTCTAGATTCAAACACCTTATTTTGTTTGTAAGCTAAATCACAGTATAAGCTTGCTTTTCTGAATTTTGTTTTAAAACAAAAGGTTTTTTTTGTGTGTGTGTGTATAAAAAAAATAAGTTACAGAACGTTCTCTTATAAGAGAGTGGAGATGTCAATATATCCAAAATAATTGAAGTACTGTAGAGCAAAAGAGAAGTTGAAGATGTAAGAAGAAAATAACCTTCCAAAAGATACTGACTGAACTGGGTATGCTACCATATAGCTTGGATGAAGTAATAAAAATTATCTCATTTTGCAATAAATGAAACAAACAGTGATACTGCATGGCATGATTCATTTCAATACGAGACAGTGACCTTTATGATTCAAGTGCTGTGTGTTTGTAGGTGATGGATTATTTCTCATTATTAGTAGAATGAAAAATGCTCAGCATGTTGTCTGTTTTGGGGAAAATTTTCCGCTCACAAACAATTTAGCAGAAATTCTACAGCACTAATGATATGTCATGATATAGTATCAAGGCATATCCCTAAAGAACCCCTGCAGGGAGTGGATATTCCTGATGCAAAGGGAAGCATGTTCAAGCTGCAGCCTGACATGGCTGGCAATGCAGCCTCCCCCTGCCCCGTGCCATCATTGTGGCAGCTCTTCCCAGTTCAGTGGCCCTGGGCACACACCCATTGCTCAACCACTCTCAAACAGTCAGTGTACTATTAACACTGTTTTGAATGAAACCAGGGCAGGGGGAAGGCATGCTGACTCAAATGATGGCAAATAATTCTATGCACTTTGACACGTTGGCTAAACACAGCACTCTGAACGGCAAAGAATACACCGCCATGCTTTCTGTTTTGGTAAAGGAATTTCAGGCACCTCTTCCAGTTGATACAAATACATTACCTGCAGATTTTCAAGTGGAATGTATAGAATTGCAATCAGGTATTCAACTCAAAAATCTGATCATGTCTGTTTACCAAACTTTCATAAGACCTCTCTTAAGAGAGGGAAATGTCCTTCGCTTCACAGTCAAGCCTTATTGATGCCATCACTTTGTGGCGTATGTACATTTGTGAACAATTGTCAAGGATGAAGCATAGGATGAGTAAAATTTCATCAGAAATCTCTGGTGAACACTTTGAGAGCTCAGTAAGAATTGCAACTACTGCAATCCAACCAGCCTGATGCGTTAGTTTCAGAACAAGGTCACGCATCTCACTGGTTTTATGTTTTTGTTCCTCTCTATTTTTTTTAAATGTTTTAAGAAAAACATTAAAAATTTAAATGTTTTGTTACTTATATATTACGATTTTGTATGTTTTGCAAGAGCTGCTGCAGAAGCAATGCATCCTGTTTTATTTTGTTGGTGCGCAACATCAGAGGCGGATGTTTGTGGTGTGGCAATAGAGGTTGAACCTTCCCAGTAGTGTACCTTTTGGCATTCATTGTTGCTTGCTGAATGTTTATGGAGAATATACATACATACAGGGATATGAGTACAGTGAGGTAGTAGGTGGCGCATTCCAACAGTTGTGACAGTGGGGCACCTCCACTGGTACAGATTTTTGTGAGCATGGCATGCAGGCTCTTTGTCATTACTGACAAAAAATGCATAGTTAACTGTGGTGGCAATGTGGAAAAATGGTGTTTTATAGCTGAGACTTTGCCCTATTAAATAGTGTTATTGTGCTCTGTGTATCTCTTTTAGTTTCCCTTGA